AAAAAGATATGAAACCACATTGTAAATCAAATCATCTTGCTTTCAGACGGAAGGCCTTTTGTAGGTTTTTGGTGTAAGATTTATATGACATTTAAACAATTTGACTTAGGGAGGTTTCTGCATTTGTTGTTAATATTAATGTAATTTATGTACACTTTATGGGCTGTTACTCATTCAATATACTAAATGTTGTAGAGTACCAGTTCAAAATCTGATGAAGCATCAGACTTACTCAGTTGAAATTTTAAAATACCAGTTTGGGGACAAGTTGATCCAATACTAACTTCTTCGAACTAACATTATCAGAATTGTATGGTTGACAGTTAGGAGAATTACAAATTTGACCTGGGAGTTAAAGGGTTAACAAATGGAGCCAGACTTCCAAACCTGTAAATGATTGTAGAATAAATTTTGTAAACCAAATTCAACTTTGTGTTGAGATACATTTGGCCTCAATTGTTAGACACAATTTGGAAGATATGGGGAAGGGGTGTGGCCTTTTCAATATTAGTCAAAATTTATCAATTTACCAGAGAGACTGCCTCAAGGTGAGGGTATGAAGGAACCCTTAAAAATACCCCATACCCTATCTCAAATTGAATGATATTCTCCTCCTCCTTTCAACCCACGACATGACACAACAGCAAAATAAGGAAGTGCAGAATGCAAGTGACATGTAATCAATGTAGCATATTTCCTTGAGTAAGTTCCTGGCCAGTTTAAGGACACCTTCTTTGAAGTAAGATTCATGAAATCAGTGGACCTCAGCACACACAAAAATTAAATAACAGAAAAGAAACCAGAGAAAAGAAATAAATCCCATAGGCAAAAAGAATGGGAAGAGAAGGCGAGGAAACCTCACAAAGATTTCCACTTGTTGCAGCTTTGAAAAAACATAACACTTGAGAATTCTTCTCCTTTTTTTTTAACACCTTCAGATTTCATGAGTTTTGAAGGACTTTAGAATTAAAATGCAACTTTCCACACTTTTGAAAGAATGCTTTTGATCTCTACAAACTTTTTTTGAAAAAGCAGGTGATTAGAATTTCTCAGAGATGAAAAAAATACATTACTGAAACATCTGTTAATTAAGTCATTAAGGACTTGCTGAATCACCAGCTCTCTGAATTTCATTTTGCTGAATCAGCAACTCTCTAAATTCAATGAAGTAACTATTAACACTTCACACCCTAACATCAGTAAGTATATTCTCCATACTGTTCTCAATACATTTCCTAAGGTGCTGACAAGGAGAATTTGTTTAACAATCTAGAGCTTCTATCATTGGTAATATTTCCTTTTCTCTTGTGACCTTTATGTGTAATTTTGAGGATGATATTGTAAGGAGAAATTAGATGCTAGTCACTTTCCAGGATTAAAGGTTACGTACCCTTTTTTTTTTTTGCAAGACATTGATGTTGGTATCAGTTCAAAAACATTTATTTTCTGTCACTGATTGTGATTGACAAAGTGGAAGTGCAAAAGGGTCTGACAGCTTGCAAATTTTGTCTTGTCTAACAGCTCCTAATGACAATACTGAGCATTGAGCCCATTGCATAAAAGAATGACCCACTAATGGATTGCCCACTAAGGGAGCTCTTGATTGTTAAACAACTTCTCCTTGTCAGCACCATAGGAAATTTAAAGAGAAGAGTGTGGAGAATATTCACACTGATGTTAGGATTTCAAGGGTGAAACTCAATTCCTTTGGCTGACCTGCCCAAGATCTTCTGTGTTGTTTTAAGTTATACATCAATCCTCCATGTGTCCACAAAGAGATGAACAAGGTAGGATGCTAGCAGAAATATGTGGGTGTGGTGACGAGCATCCATGGCATTTCACATCTACAATGATTTCCGTAGCATAACTAAATACATTATCTTTCTACTTAACCAGGATCTGATTATTAATTCTCCTCTCTAGCTGCTACACATATCCTTGTAAAGAAGTTGCAAGAATTTGGTGTTAGATCAAGATAACAAATTCTACCTGATAAGTTTGAGTATTCTCATTTCCTGTTTTCTGGATAATGCCTCAGAGATTCCAACCCCATGTGATGGAAAATAGGGAGTAATTATTAGTGCCAAAGGCGCGAGCTTCTAGGGGGGTCAGGGGGCATGCCCCCAGGAAATTTTGCAAATTTAGGTTCTCTCAAGTGCCATTTCCTGAATTTTGACATCATTCCGGCCTGAGTTATAACATACCATAATGCTCTTCGCGAAGAAAGTAAGTATAATATGAGTGTTTCACAGTGACAGATTGCCAAAAATTCTAAAGATTAGCAATTTTCCCCTAGTTTTCAGAATTTTATGATAAATCGGGAGAATTTGGTAAAAATCAGGAGAGCGGGAGGCAAGACATCAAATCGGGAGACTCCCGATCAAATCGGGAGGGTTGGAATCTCTGATGCCTGGATGTCATAAGGAGAAGTTGTAGGGTGTAAAATTTCTGGGGGGGAGGGGGGGGGGAAGGTTGATTGGCATATGGCACACATATGGCAACTCCCTATAAAAGTGGCCCCACTATTGATTAAGAATTCTACACAGAGTTAAAAAGAGAAGTTTTAGTGGAGGAGTAAACACATAACTCCATAGACAGTTCTTTTACAGTACTTGGTAAGTTAAAAATTCTTCTATAATCTGAGGGGAAAAATAATCCCAGTTTAAATTGGCACTCCCAGTGAGACAAGTCCCTACAACAGTTCCCATTGATGCTTTAAAACCAGAAGAGTGACCAGCATCTAATTTCTCCTTAGAGTAATACTGGTGAATCATCCATCAAGATCATGAGAATTAAGAAAATGATCACCATCCAAAGAAGCTTTAATAGTTAAACAAATTCTCTATTGTAAGGAGAATTTCTGTCTTGGTCTTTAAAGGTTAAACTGTAAGAGTGACTAGCATCTAATTTCTCCCTACAGTAATACTGCTCAATCATCCATTAAGATCATGAGAATTAAGAAAATGATCACCATCCAAAGAAGCTTCAATTGTTAAACAAATTCTCCTTCTTAAAAAAAGGCTGTGGTTATTCATTGTGGTGAATAACAATAAAAGCTAAGTTTTTTGTTTGTCTCATGATCTAGTCACATGTGATGTAGATCACGACGTTTCAACTGCATACTGCTAGTCTACTTCAAGTGATGATGTCAACTGGTCATGTGTGATCTTATAAAGCATGATGCTCTGCTGTGATTAGTTGTTTTTCAACAGCTCTGATTGGTGCATATCGATCCTTGCTGTTTGACACTCATTGATTATATTAGCTCCCTTGGCGGTCTGCTGTCGCACAGCTCTCCTGTTGTTGTGTTTTTTGATCATGGGCATCAAAGCTTCTGGAATTTCTATTCCACTGTCCCTGTTGATTGACCCAGTTTTTCTGACTCCCATCTGATAATACAGAGTTGTCATTAGAAAATGTATTAGATGTTTGATCTGAACTGAGTAAGCAGCTGAATTGATTTATGCTTGTGCAGCAAGTATTGCATGTTTCAAAGCAACACACCCTACTAAGTAGGGCCAGGGGCATGCTATGGAAATAAAATAAAATTCTAACAATGTGAGTTTTGAGAATTTGGTATTGAATCAATTAATAATCCTGTAACTGATATTTCTCTTTATTCTCATTGATTGTCTGCCTGATCTTGTATTGATATTGTAAAGAGAAATTCTGTCTTGATCACTGACCAGAATTAAAGGGTTGAAGAACACAACAAATTTTTACCCTCAGGCACACCTACCTTTAAGGATGCCATGCAATTTGCTGACAAATTTAAAGTTTTTAGATTAAAGTTTCCATTGAGAGAATTCCCTGTGGGTAAAGAAAAAAATAATTATTCATGTGATTTACTGTACATGAAAAGCAAAATGTTATGCATGCAATTTACTGTACATGAAAAGCATAATTTCTCAATATGAATAAGAAGACATGGAGGTAAAAAATAATTGCGCAGAAACATCAAATTTCAATTACTTCTCACCAATTTCTGTAATCCTATTTCCTGCCAAGTTCAGATCAAGAAGATAGAGAAGCTTCTCTAAGCCCTGGACAAAAAAAAAAATACAGTCATGTTACTTGTTGTTTTTTTTCTGAAGCATCACAGCAGCCCAGAATCTTAAATCCTTGAATCTGATTGGTTAAACCTTGGTCTGCAACTTTTTTCTGCACCATTCAATTAACAAAATATTAAAAAGCAAACCAGAAGAAATAAATAAATAAGTTATCTACTGGCCTAGGTCAGTCTGTTTGGGATAAAACTGAGGCCTTGGTCTTGAGTACAACCCTCTGCATTTGGCCTCAGGCTTTACTTAACCCTTTAACTCCCATGATCTCATTAGCAATTCTCCTTATGGTCTCTCATACAGTTCTTGTGATGTTAGTTTGGAGAATTGGTATTAGATCAACTTATAATCCCCTAACTGATATATTTTTTTTTATTCTCATCACTTGTCTGCTTGATATTGTATTGATATTGTAAGGAGAAAGGCTTCTTTTCTACAATTACTTAAATTACAGCTTACCTGCTAGGATCATGGATTGGGGACCTTAAGCAGCCAGGACAGCAACATGGAGGAAGACATTGATCAAAACATTGGCATTCATATTTTTGGTTAGAATTTTGCAGATGGCTGGATGTGTTTGCCATCTCTCACAGCACCACACCTCAACCTCATCATAATATATGTGACCATCATTGACTTCCAATTTGAAACTTTAAGAATTTGTTTTAGGTTTTTCCAATCTTAGACCTTGCAAATTTTGGCAATTTCATGTTTTTTTCTTTTTAATAGAGGCATGGTTTGCTTAAGTTCCCCATTAATATTTGAGAATTCAACCTTGACTTGTACTTACAGTTATCTTGCTTTCAGACACACATAACTCTGTAAGGTTTGACAAACAGTCCAGATTCTCCAGTGTTGTAATCTGTTGTCCCATCAGAGTTAAATTTTGAAGATCTGGGAAGTTCTCCATACCAATAATCTTGGGAAATCCAGAGAAGAACATCTCCAGGCTAGCAACATTCTTTCCTGCTCCTTTCTGAAGCTTTTCAAATTTGATCCCATTTACTGTGCACTATATGAAAAAAAAGAGAATTGCTTATTAACCAATTCACTCCCAGCAGTGATCAAGATATACTTTCTCCTAACAGCACCGGTACAATTTCATGTAGATAAGTAATGAGAATATAGAAAAATATTCTTTAGGAGATAACCAAATGTTTGATCCAAGAATCAATTCTTAGAACTAAAACTATGAGCAGTGTGTGGCAGAAAGTAAGGAGAATTACTTGAGAGATCTTGGGATTGGAAGGGTTAAGAAAAAGCTTATTTCAAATCAAGGTTTGATAGAGATTCTACTTTTTGTTGTGACAGTGCCAAATGACACCCTTCAGCATGGGGGAAAGCTGAGTAATCTGCAATACTCAAAGCTACATTTTACAGCACAATATAGCCAAAATAAGAAATGTAAATGAAGGTGATCTTCACTACTTAAAAGTAGTAGTGAAAATGAGGCTTGAAATAAATTCAGGCCTGTATGGGATTGAACCCATGACCTGTGCAGATACCTGTGCAGTGAATTTTTTTCAGGCCTTATTTCCACTATTAAGTAGCATTCATATCTGTAAAGATTGCTCTCATATTCATTTCTTCAGTGCAGTTCACATAATTCTATGATTTTCATATATTTACAGTCATAAATAGGAAAGTAGTAATAACGATGACAATAATTATGATATTTAATGAGGGAACCTAACTTGAGGTATTTTTCAGTGGGACCCTCCATGACTAATTAATTTCCTAGTTGGTTATAAAAAACAAATATGAATAAAAAGTAACATATATTCTTGATACATAAAGAGAGTGAAAATGTTTTTCAAAATGAAAATGAATAGAATATCAAAGTAGAAATTACTTAAAATTAGCTAAACCTGTTAAAAAAGGTTTATAGTTTTTCTTTAACAATGGATAAAAACTTTGTTCCTTTCAAATCAATCAGAAGGCTGTTCCAGTCTTTGGCAACTTGGTCAGCAAAATTCTTTTAAAGAAACATCTTTACTGAATATTAGAAATTCTCCACATACCATGTAACATACGTTTGCCCATTGCTGTGCTGTTGTAATTTTTGAACACATGGACATACTGGTATCTTGTTTTGTGATATGAAGTTTTGAAATATTTTGAAATAACATACACCTCAATGTAGCATAGTATCAGTACTACCAAAAATAGATTAAAAAAGATTGGTTCTACTCGGTAAGCAATAATTTTAATTATTGTTCTGAGAAAAAAATACATCCTGAAGACAAGACAAAACATTTGCACCACAGAAAAAAGGTTTTTGGTACATTTACAGAAATGAAGAATAAAACTACAAAGAAGTTCAAGATAACTCACAGAAAAAACAATTATTTCAAAATAATGTTATTCTTAAACAAAAGCTTTTTTTAAAGTGGTTTGGATGATCAAATATAAAATGCTTTTGTTCTTTAATTAGTACCCTAAAACATGTCCATTGAATGGATATTTAGTTGTATATCATGCTGACAATAATATCAGCAAGAAATTAAACATTCATTTATCTCACCACAACTAAATGTATTTTTGAAGGTATGATCTGTGCTTCATTGTGAGACTTTCAAACAAAGGACAGTAACATGGAACTAAGTGAAAAACCAAGTAAGGGAAGTAAGGGAGAACAGAGTGTTTCATATTCATAGTGGAATCAAAACATTGAACAAAGGGAAATTTAAATTAAGCTAGTTCTAAGCAGTAGAGTTTACAATTGTGTATTTTGTATTGATAATTTACTTATAACAGAAACAATATGATGCATTAACCCTTTAACTCCCAGATCAAATTTGTCATTCTCCTTACTGTCAACCATACAATTCTTATAATGTTAGGTCAGAGAATTAAGTATTGGATCAACTTGTTATCCCCAAATTGATATTTTTCTTCATTCTCATCACTTGTCTGGTTGATACTGTAATGATATTGTAAGGAGAAACTCTGTCTTGGTCACTTATGGGAGTTACAGGGTTAAACAGTGATACAAAATAGTTTTTCTCTAAGTCTACTTACTGCCACAATCAAGTCTTTACTCAAGAGAAATCAGAAGCTAATTACTCTTAGGAGTCAAAGGATAAAAGAAAGATGTTATTCATTGATCACAATGGGGAAAAGGAAAAAGCAAAGTCTCCTATGACAAAAAACCTCAGAGTTTTAGATTTTGTTTCACAATGTTCTACCTCTGAGCTATAGAGACCCTCCTGGTGAACTAGACTACTACCATGTTCAAATGATGTGACAGGTGTTCTACCGCAATGTTGACAGCGTTATGTGGCAATATACAAATCACAAATTTCTCTATTAGTTCTATAATTGTCAACCAATGAATAATATCTTGCCTTCTCAATAACAGAGCTCACAATTTACCACCTCTGTGAGAGTCTATTATCTAATTACTCCTTACAATATCACCCACAAATCACATGTTAAGGTCACAAGAATAAAGGAATGATTTCCAAGTAAAGAAAGTCTTGATTGTTCAACAAATTCTCCTAATTAGCACCTCAAAAAAATGTATGAAAAACAGTATAGAGAATATGCTCACTGATATTGGGGTGTAAAAGTTTATTTCATTTTTGGGTCTCATTTTATTTGTGCATAGCATGAGTGCAGTGATGCTAAACAAAATAAAATCTGTTTCGTTCTACCATAAACACACGATTTCTAGGTAACGAACAGTCTTTATTTGTAAACTAAGTGCGCTCTCATGTAGATATATGTGATCTAAAACCTTTTGCGATTAGATAACATCGACCGCTGTATCATGTGTCACCTGAGGTGCACGTGATCTCCGAGTGTGCTCTCGTTACATCCTTTCTTTCATAAGAAACAAAACGAAAACAACGGAACAATCAAAACAAACATGAGAAACAAAAAAATCAAAACCACTATCCAAAAGAATCAACTAGTCAAGTCCGGTAATGTCTTTGTCTCTCATGACACTGACTCAGGTTAACGAACAAAGTCTTTCAGATAGGACGGGGGCTTCGTTATTCGACCACTGCGAGTCTGGTTGCCTTTGGAAGCTTGCGATGCTAGATCAGTCGCAGGCTGCTCGATCGCTGGCTCCTGTGGCTTCGCTACTTCTGAGCTGGAGTGACCACTGGCGTTAGTTTCTTGTTCAATGTGTTTAGATGGCGAGGGAAGTTCTGTCTGCTTGGGCATCTGGGTTGTTGGCGTGTGAGACTCTTTTGTAGTTGCTTTCAGATGCCTTCTATTTCGTCTAAGGGCAGAGCCATCTTCTGTGAGGACTTTGTAGGATCGCATGTTCACCTGTTCCTGAACAGTGGCTTTCTTCCAGGGCGCCTTGGGGTTGCTTGTGGGCTGAATGCGCACTGAGTCTCCAGTTTTCAGTGGTGGCAAATCTCGAGCGTTTCTATTGTAGTAAAATGCCTGCTTGGTTCTTGTCTTCCATTTTCCTTCTTGGACATTTTCGGCGAGTTTGGGTTTAAGGAGCTTCTCGCTTGTTGGGAGTAGGGTCCTTGTTCGACGACTCATTAGTCGTTGTGCTGGACTGCTTTTCATGCCTTCTGAGGGTGTGTTTCGGTGGTCGAGGATCGCTAGCCAAGGATCTGTTCCATCTTTGTTAGCCTTCTTAATAAGCCTTTTCACAGTCTTGACTGCGCTTTCCGCCATACCATTGGACTGCGAATGTCCGGGACTTGAGGTTAAATGATTGAATTCCCAATCTCGAGCAAATCTCCTGAACTCGTCCGAATCAAACTGTGGGCCATTGTCGGAAAACACAGTGTTCGGGATGCCATGCCTTGCAAAGTGTTGCTTCAATTTGTAAATAACAGCTTTAGATGTTGTACTGGACTCCAACCTATCGACTTCCCAGTAGTTGCTGTGGTAATCTACGGTCACGAGGTAATGTCGGTTGTTTGTCTCAAACAGATCAACACCAACCTTGGACCATGGCCGGTCAGGTACCTCATGTGGGTGGAGTGTTTCCTTCTGCTGGGAGATCTCAAAGGT